GTAATAAATTTGAGTACAAAGACGAATGCATTGAAGATTTGGAAGAAGCAGATATGATAACACAATTCTTGCGAACTCAGAAAAAGCAACTCATTGATTTGAAACAAAATCTGGAGAGATATGTAAATATTTTACCTGTTTTTGGATTTAACAGCGGTAGATATGATTTATACTTGATCAAGTCCTACCTAATCCGCTATTTGATTCGCGATAAAGAACAAGAAACAACCGTCATCAAAAAAGCAAATGACTTTATATCTTTCAAGTTTGAAGATGTACAATTTCTCGACATAATGAAGTTTCTGGGAGGGGTAACTACTATGGACTCCTTTCTCAAAGCCTATAATGCTAGCGAAACGAAAAGAATCTTTCTCTATGATTGGTTTGATAACCCAGATAAACTTAACTTTCCTGAATTGCCACCGTATGAAGCCTTTTTCAGTAAACTTAGAAACATCAATCCTCTAAACAAAGAATTCATTGATTATGAGCTGCTTAGAAAAAGTGGGTTTGACGAACAACAGGCACTGAAAAAGCTTTAAATCAAGACTGTTTCTCCATCTGTTTTGGATAATTACAATTACTTACAAGAGACTTGGAAGAAAAATGGAGTGACAGTGTTCAAAGACTTTCTGAAGTGGTAAAACAACAAAGATGTAGTTCCAACCCTGGAGGCAATGCAAAAAATGATTCAATTTTAACATAACAAGGGGTTAGATAAAATGAAACTTGGATGTACACTTCCAAATCTAGCAAACATATGTCCACACAAATCTACAAATTACAAGTTTTATCCATTTTGAAAGTGATAAAGACTTGTGTGAAAAAATTAGAGAGGACATGACTGGTGGACCTTCCATTTTTTTCACTCGACAAGCTGTAGTTGATGAAACATACATCAGAAATTCATCAAATGTTTGTAAATCAACCGTTGGAATTGATGCAAGTCAGCTTTACCCTTTCTCAATGTGTCAAGATTTGCCAACAGGACTGTACACGAGATGGGAGTTTGACACTGATATGCAGAAATTCAAGGCTAGTCATAATCGAACTCGCAACTTTGAGAATAATGTCATGTCTTTCTATCAAGAATCAAGACCAGATTGTAAAACTGAGAGCTTTCTTACATCTGAAAAACATAAAAAAAACCGACCGTTTCAATGTTGATGGTTATTGCGATCACTGCAAAACAGTATTCGAAGCAATGGGATGTTACTACCACTTCTGTTCCAGTCAAGAAGCTCGTCCGTCCTTAACAGATCAGGATATTAAGCGAGGAAACAAGAAGAGAGAGATGGATGATATGCGACGAGAATACATTAAAGAGAAAGGATACAAAGTGGAAGAAATGTGGGAGTGTGACTTGTGGGAAAATTTCAAAACCAATGAAAAAAACAAAAATCTTTTCAGAACCCACTTTCCCTATAAAAGATTTCTTTCTACAGACTCCCTTCTAGCAAGAATAAAAGATGGATCTCGTTTTGGCTACGTTCAGTGCGACTTAGTTGTTCCAGATGAACTAAAGTCAAAATTTGCCAATTTTCCTCTAACTTTCAAAAACACTGAGGTTACAAGAAACGATATTGGAGACTACATGAAAAACTATGCAATCGAGAACGAAATGTTAAAACATCCTCAGAGAATGCTGATTTCTAGTTTCAAGCTAGAAAATGGAACAGTTATAACTCCTCTGTTCAACTTTTATATGGAACTTGGATTGCAGTGCACCAAAAATTACCGTTTTCTTCAATATTCTCCTCGGAAATGCTTTTATTATTTCGTTCAGTCAGTGTTTGATGCTAGAAGAGAAAGAGATGAAAACACTTTGTCAGGAGTTGTAGCAGAAACTTTTGGGTAATTCATTGTATGGATATCAGATCATGGATAGATCCAGGCATACAATCACAAAATATCTGAACGATGAAAAAACCCACAAGGCAATCAATGAACCATTGTTCAAAAGACTGAATCCAGTTGAAAAAGACTTGTATGAGGATGAGTTGTTGAAATCAACCATTGAACATAGAGAACCCATCATCGTTGGATTTTTCATACTGCAGTATGCGAAAATGAGAATGTTGGAACACACACTCGCTTTACTTAGCTCTTGCTGAAGAAAATTTATGAGACTGTATCAAACCAGATAAGAGAGCTGCTTGGGAAAAAATGAGGGAAAATGACTGCAGAGACTCTTTCAAGGCGGATGCAAAATCGAATTTTTTCCCTCGAACGTGTTGCAGTACGCATAAAAAGTATGATAAGCGGGAGCCGGGACTTTTTAAAGAAGAGTTTAGATGTACAGAAATGCTATGTTAGATAAGTATAGAAACAAGTCAGATAAGTTCAAATTTAGCAGTAAAGGATTAAACAAGCGAGTTCTTGAAGATTCTGGAGACGGATCCATGTCAAAGTACAGGAGAATGCTCGATGAAGCAATCAACTTAACATCTACAAATAGAGGATTCAGAACTATAAATCATATGGTGGCAACATATGAACAGACAAAGAAAATACTAAGCTATTTTTATCCAAAAAGACAAGTACAAGATGATGGAATTCATACAAAACCATTTAACTTATAGGAACTGATCTGGTGTAGTAAACTTATTCATGATGTCGTATTATATTGGTTTTATGATATTTTGCCGTAAACTTTTTATACAATGCAGTGATTTATATACTTTTTGTAATTTATTTTTTTTTCTCTCAATTAGGTCAAATAATAGCTAATCGTATCGTGTTTTGAAGTTTTTTTGACAATTTTTTCAATTTTTTTGATAAAAAATCCAAGTTTTTGCACAAAAACTCTTACCATTGACTTACCAAGCACCAAAAAACTAAAAATATAACCTTAATTATATAATCTTCAAACAATTAACAATTACATATACCCAATTACATAACGCGCGCCGAGGTTTTTGTGAAAAAACTTAACATTTCCACACAAAAACCAAAAAAAAAACTTTTCTTACCATTATCTTACCATCACACTGAAACCTAGCATTGGTATTCCCTATCTTAATACATTGTAGACTCTATACCCAATCTTAATACATAGCATGGAAGACCGGAAATCTAAAAAGTATCTTAATACATGAGGTCTTCCATGCTCCCCCCCCCCCCCCCCCCCCCCCCCCCTGATCACCTCCAACATCTACTACTCCGGGTGGTTTTTTTCTTCAGACAAATTTTGATTTTGAACTAGCCATTTTGACGAAATTATGATTCAAAACATATTGTTGTGCTGAGTTTGAAACTGAAAAAAAAAATATTTCAGCAGTGAATATTTCTCGTAAAGTTATGGGGGTTTAAAGATAGCCATTTTGGACAATTTGGGAAAATTAACGCGCGATCAACTCGTAAGCGGAGATTTAATCCGTCTTAGAAATTGTTCCAAATTGGTTGAAGGAAACTTTTTTGCCATAATTGATTTGTTACTGGGAACAAAATTTGTCACTTCGTACTTTATATGGCATGTGGGTGGGATATTTTCACAAAATGTTTAATTTTAATTTTTTTTATTATCTTTTGTACATTCAATTTTTTATTGTTGTTACTGCGCTATGGACCTTGAAAAGCAGTCGGAACTATCAGTGCTTCGTCCTGATACGAGCAGTTTTGTTGTTCCAACTTTTGCAACGAAAGTAACGGAATATTTGTGCTTGGGGTGGTTTTTTGTTCTTCAGATAATTTTCGACTTTTTATCTAGCCTTTTTTGTAATTTTTTAAATATTTTTCAAAAGGGATTGTTGTCTTGAGCTTACCGATTTGGCCAGTTTGGGACAATTGACGCGTGATATATTTTGCGCTATTAACGCATAAACGGAGATTTAATCCGTCTAAGAAATTGTTCCAAGTTGGTTGAAGGAAATTTATTTGCCATTATTGAGTTGTTACTAGAAGCGAAGTCTATCACTTTGTACCTTATATAGCTGTGGGGGATGAGCGAGATAATCTCAATTTTTTTAAATAATTTTTTTCATTTTATCTTACTTACATTCAATTTTTTAGGTTATTACTGCTCCATAGACCTTAAAAGGCAGTCGGAACAATCAGGGCTTTGCCCTGACACGAGCAGGCTTGTTTCCTTTGACTACGAATCTATGTTATACACAGAGCTAGCGCTAAAGTTTAGGTATTTGACATGCTAGCTGCCTTTCGTTGCAACTGATTTTGAAATTTCGACAAAATTGAGCCTTCTAGCGGAGTGCAAAATCATTAAGCTTTGAAGAATTGTAGCAGTTTCATTTTTGTTCCAACTTTCGAAGAAAAGGGAATGTTTATGCTCGGTGTGGTTGTTCTATTCAGTCAATTTTTGCCGATCAGAAAAATACTTCCTGAGTTCGAATGTAAAAAGATATTTTACCTCCGATTAGTTTTTGAAAAGTTCTGGGGTTTTGAAAACTAGCAAATTAGCCATATTCTGGACTAAATTATGCGCGCTTTGAAGACTTTATTCATATTGCTGGTAGCTTAATGCGAATTAGTTATAGGCGGCTGATTATAACTCAAAAAAATTGTTCCAAAATGAATTGAGGCTAGCTAATTGGTGGTATTAACTCAAAATTTCAAACTTTGATATTGTCCAAAATTTATAGGTTTTCAATGTTTTCGTTTCCCAAAAAGTATTCGATGTGAATTAAGGGATAGTCGGAACACTCAGAGCTTTGCCCTGATATACGAGCAATCTTATTTTTGTTAACTTGAGCTCAAGTATTCGCAAATTATTGTAAGCATCTAATTTCAATGATGCATAAGGTATGATGGCGTTGGTTGGCGGCAACATTTTCGTGTACAAACTGCTGCTAAAAACTGACTTCATGTTTTAACTTGTTTCAAGTTCTGGGAATTTGTTTTGGTCAATAGTGGATATAAATGCAAAAAATAGTTTTAAATGCCGCAAAACATAAGTTAAATTTGTTGCCTAACAGAACTGAATTAGTTTTTTTTTCGGTAACTTTCGTTCTTGTAACAGAAAAGAGCCATAAATTTAACTTCAGGCCGTATATCTGCCCACAATCTGCTCAAATGTTATCGTCGAAGTTGGTTTCGGCCCAGGTAACTTTCGGCGAAGTCACCATCCGACTGTAGTCGAGGGCGCCCCTTATGTCATACTCGGCCGAGAGGTGGAACATTTTGGACTCCGTCATATGGATTCGGTAACTTTCAATTACACAACTGTTGCAGAGGATCTGACATTTCATTGGTTCAAACATAACATCATGTGTAAAGATAATGCATGGATTTGTGACGAAACAATGCCTGGTAAAAATCAAGGGGCAGGTGGGGGAAAAGGAAGGAGTGGTGGGGCTAGTGGCAGTGAGAAGAAAAGTGGGGGCAGCAAAAAAGGAAGAAGGAAGAAGCAGCAGGCTGCTCAAAGAAAAACCGAGTTCAGAAGAAGGCGTCACTGATGTCTATATTTGCTAAAGTTTCTTATGATTTTTTATGACAGAACATGACACTATTTTTACGACACTATTTTAACTGATTGTATCATTTGTCTATATACATAATTCATAAATTTTCATTTTCGTTTTCATTTAATGTCAAATTGTATTTTATGTGGCGCGTGTGGGGATTGATTTTCACAAAAACGCTCAAACTAAAAAAATCTTTTGTTTTATTTTGTAACAAGAAAACACAGGTTTTGCTTGAGGCTACTTTCATCAACTTTGGTAGTTTAATTGAGCAAACACATCGTTCAGTTACCTTTCTTGAGTGTTCTGGTAAATTAAAAAATTTCTTTTGCTCTTAAGAACACCTAAAGTTTTTCTTGTTTTTCTATAGCGGATTTAGGGGAGTTGGAGATGGATGCGGACTTCCCTCCCCCTCAGGGATTTGATCCCTTGCCCGACCAAAAGGGCCCCCTTTGTACTGTTTTGAATTATCAATTTTCTACTTTCTTTGAGGCGGCAGTTTGCGCCGAAAAAGAACGGCTTTTTGCTCATAACGTTTTCAAAAAGTTTCTAAAAAACGCCTTTTTTTTTAGATTTTCTATAAAAAATATTCTCAAGCGGCTCTAAAAGTTTGGGTCAGAATAGGGTCTCTATAGTGAACTGGTAGAGCTCAGCAAATCAAGTTAGTCGAATTAGAAAAAATGTCGACAAAATTTTCGAAATTTTTGAAACCCCCCCCCCCCCCCCCTCGATAAATTACCGGTTTCAGGATTCCATGCCTGGTTTCACAAATTCTTCAGGTTGTTGCAATTTTGGCACCCTCGAACCATTTATTTCAGTTACAAAAATTTGTTCCGCATCTGAGTTCTATAAATCAGAATCAATTTCATCGTCCATTTCAGTCAATCTCTATAAAACTGTTGAATAACCAATTTTTTTTGTAACGAAAATAACGGAATATATTTGCTCGGGTGGGTTTTTTCTCTGACGGATTTTTTAAATCACTCAAAAAGTTTTGTTGTCTGGAGTTCAATTTCGAAGAGATATTTAATCTGTAACTGTGATAGTTTTTCGTAAAGTTGTGTGTGTTTAAAGACTGCCATTCTGGCCAAATTGAGACAATTAACGCGCGATGTATTTCACGCTTTCAACGTGTAAACGGAGATTTCTTACGTCTTAGAAATGGTTTCATATTGTTTAGAGGAAGCTTATTTGACATTGTTGATTTGTTACTAGGAGCGATTCTCATTATAAAAAATCATTTCATTTTTACACCTGTTTTTTCAGATTATTACTGCTCTATCGAGCCAGTCGGAACATTCAGGGCATTGCCTTGATTAGAACAATTTTCTTTTAATTGAAATCTGTTTTGGTTTAAAAGCTGTTATCTTTTTTTGTGTTTTTTTTTCATTTTTTGTAGACATTTCCACACTTAGTATTTGCTACTTTTTCTTTTCTTTTACTGATTTAGGTCGCTCCACCGTACAAAATTTTCTTAATTGACAAAACTCCAAATACTTTAACTCGGACAAAATGCCCCTTACTTCCATTAAACTCACTTATTAAGTCAAAACGTCATAGTAGATTCCGCTCCGATAAACCTTTTGAAACAGTTTGAAGTTCCGAGCCATAAATTTTGGGAGGGGTCGCTGCCATAAATTCCGAGCCATAAGTGTTATGAGTGATATCATTTTTACAAAAAAAAGCAAAACTTGGGTAGGCTTCAAACAAATCGATTAGGCTTCAAACAAATCAAAAAACAAATCGATTAGGCTAAGTACCGCGGAAAAAGTTTCGTAACAAGAAAACACAGTTTTTGCCTGAGGCTACTTTAATCAACTTTGATATTTTAATTGAGCAAAACATATCGTTCCGTTACTTTTTTTGAGTGTTCCGGTTAATTAAAATTTGCCCTTGCTCTTGAGAGCACTTAAAGTTTTTCTTGTTTTTCTATAGCGGATTTAGGATATGGGGGGGGGGGGGGGGGGCAGACGCAGACGCCTCTCTCCCTCAAATATTTGACCCCTTGCCGACCCAAAGGGTCCCTTTGAACTATTTTTTTGAATAAATAATTTTCGGCTGACTGACCGTGAATTTTTTCTTGTTGCATTTGACACCAAAACATACTAATTTTGAGGTGGGAGCTTTCGCCAAACAAAACGCAATTTTTTGATTCCAAAAAGTTTATAGAAAACGCCTTTTTGAGTTTTTTGTTAATTCGCCAGCGGCTCAGAAAGTTTTGGTCAGAATAGGTTCTTTATAATGATTTGGTAGGGTACAGAGAATCAAATTGGTCAAACTAGAAAAAAAGTAAAAAAAAAAAGGCACTTCATTTTCTGCAAACGTGGGATTTTCGCAGTTTTGGCACCCTCGAGCCGTTGGTTTCAGCAAAAAAGTTTATCCCACATCTGAGTTCTCTAAATCACAAACAATTACAATGTCCGTTTTCAGTCAGTCTCTATTAATTTGTTGAATAACCGATTATTGTTCCAAGTTTTCTAACTAAAGTAACGAAAGATTTTTGCTCGAGCTGGGTTTTTTCTGTGACGGATTTGTTTTATATCACTCAAAAAAATTGTTGTCTGGAGTTGAACTTTGAAAGAATATTTCACCTGTAACTGTGATCACTTTTCCTAAAGTTGTGGGTGTTCAAAGACATTTTGGTCAGTTCGGAAAAATTATTGTGCAATACTTTTCGCGCTTTTAACGCTTGTGCGGAGATTTACAACGTCTTAGAAATCGTTCCAAATTGCATGGCGGAAGCATGTTTGCATTTTTTGACAAGGAGCAAAATTTATCACTTGTTCTTTATGTGGCGTGTGTGGGGGATTGAGTTTCACAAAAACGCTCAAATTAAAAAATCCTTTTTGTTTTATTACATTTAATTTTTCTTGTTGTTACTACTCTATAGATCTTAAAAGGCATTCGAAGCACTCAAGCCAATGCGCTGATACGAGCAGTCAAGTTTTAATTGAAGTTTGTTTTGGCTGTAAAGCTGTTAACTGATTTTGTTTTTTATTTTTCATTTTCTTTGTATATTTTTCCCGCTTTTCAATTTTTGCTGCCCTTTACTAATCAAAAAACTCAAAACGTCTTTACTCTGACCCAACGCCCCCTCACCTAAACTAGAAAACTAAAACCACTTATTTAGCAAGAACGTCTATGTAGATGCCACTCCGAGAAAATTTTTGAAAAATTTTGAAATTCCGAGCCATAAATTTGGGGAGGGGTCGCTGCAATAAATTCCGAGCCATAAATTATATGAGGGATAACATTTTCCAGAAAAAGAAATTTGGGTAGTCTTAGCAATCGCTTAGTCTGAGTACCGCGGAAAAAATTTTGTAACAATAAAACACAGGTTTTGATTGAGGCTACTTTCGTCATTTTTGATAGTTCAATTGAGTAAAACACATCGTTCCGCTACCTTGTTTGAGTGTTATGGTAATTTAAAAATTGTCCATGCTCTTGAGAGCGCTTAAATTTTTTCTTGTTTTTCATTAACGGATATAGGGAGGTGTGGGGCGGACGCAGACGCCTTTATCCCTGAAATATTTGACCCCTTGCCGACCCAAAGGGTCCCCCCCTTGTACTATTTTGAGTTATCCATTTTTTGCTGACTGACCCTAAACACTTTCTGATGGCGGATTCATTTTCTTGATGGCGGAAACTTTTTCTATAGCGGATTTAGGAAGGTTGGAGATGGATGCTTACTTCCTTCCCCCTCAAGGATTTGACCCCTTGCCGACCCAACCGACCCAAAGGGCACCCTTTTGCACTGTTTTGAATTATCAATTTTTTGCTGACTGACGCTAAAAAATTTTTGATGGCGCAGTTGGCGTCAAAATCTACTTTACTGATGGGAGAGTTTGGGTAAAAAAACACGGCATTTGTTCAAAACTTTTCCAAAAAGCTTCTAAAAAACACCTTTTTCTTAGTTTTTTAAAAAAAATTCGCATGCGGCTCAGAAAGTTTGGGTTAGAATAGGGTCTTTAAAGTGAACTGGTAGAGCTCGAAAAATCAAAGTGGTTGACTTAGAAAAAAAGTAAAAAAAAAAGGCACTTCATTTTCTGCAAACGTGGGATTTTCGCAGTTTTGGCACCCTCGAGCCGTTGGTTTCAGCAAAAAAGTTTATCCCACATCTGAGTTCTCTAAATCACAAACAATTACAATGTCCGTTTTCAGTCAGTCTCTATTAATTTGTTGAATAACCGATTATTGTTCCAAGTTTTCTAACTAAAGTAACGAAAGATTTTTGCTCGAGCTGGGTTTTTTCTGTGACGGATTTGTTTTATATCACTCAAAAAAATTGTTGTCTGGAGTTGAACTTTGAAAGAATATTTCACCTGTAACTGTGATCACTTTTCCTAAAGTTGTGGGTGTTCAAAGACATTTTGGTCAGTTCGGAAAAATTATTGTGCAATACTTTTCGCGCTTTTAACGCTTGTGCGGAGATTTACAACGTCTTAGAAATCGTTCCAAATTGCATGGCGGAAGCATGTTTGCATTTTTTGACAAGGAGCAAAATTTATCACTTGTTCTTTATGTGGCGTGTGTGGGGGATTGAGTTTCACAAAAACGCTCAAATTAAAAAATCCTTTTTGTTTTATTACATTTAATTTTTCTTGTTGTTACTACTCTATAGATCTTAAAAGGCATTCGAAGCACTCAAGCCAATGCGCTGATACGAGCAGTCAAGTTTTAATTGAAGTTTGTTTTGGCTGTAAAGCTGTTAACTGATTTTGTTTTTTATTTTTCATTTTCTTTGTATATTTTTCCCGCTTTTCAATTTTTGCTGCCCTTTACTAATCAAAAAACTCAAAACGTCTTTACTCTGACCCAACGCCCCCTCACCTAAACTAGAAAACTAAAACCACTTATTTAGCAAGAACGTCTTTGTAGATGCCACTCCGAGAAAATTTTTGAAAAATTTTGAAATTCCGAGCCATAAATTTGGGGAGGGGTCGCTGCAATAAATTCCGAGCCATAAATTATATGAGGGATAACATTTTCCAGAAAAAGAAATTTGGGTAGTCTTAGCAATCGCTTAGTCTGAGTACCGCGGAAAAAATTTTGT